AATATAAAAGGATTTTTGTTTTTAATGCATTTTTGTGTTGTTTAGGGTTTTTGATTTTTCGAATTATGCTATTGGTTGGTCTTTTATAATTTGTTAGCAGTGTTTTGTTCTTGGGTCTTTATAGTTAGAAAAATTAATGAATTAATGATATTCAAATATTTAATCACCTTCATCAAGATTCTAACTGGCCATCACCATCGTCTCTTTTTCAACTTTCTCACTTTACTCTTCCATCAACCATAGCATATCAAGCCACAACCACGACTATGAAATTCACCAAGCCTCGCACTACCCAACCCACCCCTTCGCCATCAACCCCATTGCCACCACAGACTCACATAACCCATTTCCGCAACCACCACTACAACTCACCTAATAATATATTTTAAATCGATTTTGTTAGTTGTTTTATTGTCATTGTACTAAATTTCTTGTTTGATTTATATATTGTATCAAGTGTAGTTTTTTTCAATAATACCCTCGAGCATGAGTAATTACTTATATTATTTTAAAGTACCAATGTATCTTTAAAACTTTATTTTCCTGCTGTTAGTAAAAACAAATATGCCATCCAACCGTATATCCTACAAATTTAATGCCTTCTAGAAGCCAATTCATCACAGGTGCTGCTCCTCCCAATTTTTCAGCAAAATAAATGGCCCAATAAACCTAATTCATCACCGCCCTCCCAAGTTTCCAGCCGTTAACAACCTCTCTCCTTCTCCGTCGACCCTCCAACTCACTTCACCATGCCCCAACCCAACCACTCTGATCAACTCAGCCACTGGCCGCTGCTTCTCTTACTCCGAATTCACCAATCAAACCAAAATCCTGGCCGCATCTCTGCAAAACCTAACGGGTCTCTCCAAAGGCGACACTGCATTCATTCTCTCTCCCAATTCAACCGAGATTTCCCGCCAAATCAAGCTCTCAAAAGCAGTGATCGTCTTTGTCGTGTCATCAACGTGTCACAAGCTTCCAACCATGCGATACCGGACAATACTTATTGACTCGCCTGAGTTTGAGTCGGTGTTATCGAGTTCAAGTCGTGAACTCTGCCCCGCGTCGAAGTGAGTCAGTCTGATATCGCAGCGATTATGTACTCGTCGGGGACTACCAGCCAAATCAAAGGTGTGATGCTTACTCATCGGAACTTGATTGCGATTGTAGGGATATTTTTAGCTCGGCGACCGGAGAGGGAGTCACCGACGTTGTTGCTGTATACGGTGCCTTATTTTCATGTATTTGGGTTTTTGACAGTGTGAAGTCTGTGGCTCTAAGTGAGACTGTGGTGTTGATGGAGAGGTTTGACTTGAGGAAAATGTGGAGAGCTGTGGGGGAGTTCAGGGTGACGGATGTGGCAGTGGCAGTGGCACTACCGGTGTTGGTGACTATGGCGAAGGGAGATGTGACGGATGGCTATGATTTGAGGTAGTTGGATAGGGTTGATTGTGGTGGTGCGCCACTTGGCAAGGACGTGATCAGAGCATTTTCAACAAAATTTTGCGGGCGTTCTCTTACATCAGGTTACTAGTGTTCACCACTGAAGGCTCGTCACCATTATTTGTTTACTCGGCCGCGTTCTGGAATCTGGAGGTTCAAGCTTTGCTGATTATCTATTGAGGAAACTATGCATATGACCCTCAAAATATGATTTTTTTTTTTTATTTTTTTTTTCTAAAGTTTGTGCAGTTGGTTGATCAATACCTTCATAAACTATCTTTTTGTTGCAGATAATGCCGTTATGAAAAGTTTTGTGCCAGTCATTCTTTCTATTGCAAGAATTCGTCAATAACCTAATTGTTCTTACCACTCATACTCATAGGTAAGCTCTCTATCTCTATGTATCTAGATCTTCATATAACTTATGGATCCGGGGTTCTTTTTGAAAGGGATAAATACAATTCTGTACTTGCAAATGAAAGCTAATTTTTGCTTGAATTTGCTGTAGTTAATTAGATTTGTTTTCCAAGTTGGTGACAAAACCAGGGAGGATGTCGACTACTCTGAGGAAGAGATTGATAGGGGATTTCAAGAGTTTGCAGTAGGATCCTCGTATGTGCAAGACACAAGAGAGGTATTATGCTTTGGAACGTTTAGGACTCAATTGGATCCTCTTGGTGTTTTTGTTTTCCTAGATGTTGACAGGACTAAACTGTTGCTAAGATAGTTGACATTCAACCATGATATGTTGGTAATTAGCACTTGGAAATGTTTAGCATGTCGAGGAAAGTGGCACATTGCCCAAGATGATTGCATTGCATTTGATACCAGTGGAAAAGCTTATAGAATTAGGATAGGGACGTGGATTGTTTTTTGCCAATCTTTGCTTAGCCCACAATCATGTTTCCCCTTTCAAGTTTGGGCCGTGAGATTTTTACATTTTATACGCTTCCTGTTATTTTTAAAATTTTACATTTATTTGTCAATGTGTTTTAACAGCTCAAGAATCAAATGAAAGAGTTAGCCACACTTTCCTTGAAACCAATTGTGTAGCAAGGAATTGACGAAAGCTTGGCTCATAGTAAACTTGTGTAATATATGATTTCATCATGGAATAGATAAGGATATAAACTTGAAAACAACCTTTGAGAATATAGTGGCTGATTTAGGACCAAAAGTACTCTTTTTCTAGGAATGAAATTTAGTTTGGGTAGACCTACAAGTTGAAACATAACTCCATGTATTGTGTGTTATCGTTCAATATAAATCAAATATGGAGACATATGCTCAAATCTTTGAATTCTCAACCAATAAACTTAGAAATCAGTAATATAAAATAATAATCAGAATGATAATTCACCATATTTCACGCGCACGCACGTGTAAATCAACTTAGGTAAAAAAATTGCAGATATACGATGACATAGTGAGTTGTTTCAAGCAATGATAAATTGAGCATGAGTTACGAACAACTTTTATTGTGAGAGTGCAATTGACAATTTAGTTGAAATATCATAACAATGTAAGTGCACGGAGCTCACGCTTCAAATACAAACCCACTATAAAAACGTTAGTTGTTGGTAATACTATACATACACCACCCAGTCATCTAGGTACCATTGTATTCCTAAATTGCAATGTAATTGGGTATGCATAAGCTAGACTACATAGTTGGAGTTTGCGATATTTTGGGATTTTTGCTTATATGTTGCTTCCAAGCAATATGAGTACATTCCTGTCTAACATCCTACATTATTGATTTTTCTTATTTACTCATTCTTTTGCTTAGATACTAATACATTCAACTTTTAACAAGGTAAATTAATTATTCGCCTCATAAATTTGCAGCTGTTTTTCTCATCAAACTATTAGGAAGGCCACACACAGATTCAACATGGTGAATATATTCCTCATTCTCCACTTTCATAGCGTGACGTCAATTGACACACTTCTCTTTCTCCCCCTCTCTGTCAGATGCCCTCAGCTTTTGTGCGTTGGCACTGCACAACCATCGGTGTATTGCTTGAAGGTAATGAATTTTTAGTTGCAAGTAATATATCTTTGTAGTTTTGGGTATGATTTGTGGTTCTTGTATGTGATGGTTGTTGTTGGATTTACTATATTTTTATTCAGGTTTTTCATAATATTTAATCCTTAGCGAGTTAGCCAGTCAATTAGGATAGCCCTCATCTACTTATTGATGTCGAACTGTTCTATATATTCTGGTGAAAAACAAGTAGAACTTTGCATACAGTGATTATTGTTTAGTCAACAAAACTTCAATACCATGTAATCACAATTCTGTAAGGTACAACAGTTTTAATTTGAGCATCCAATTGCTTTTTTATTTTGAACGTAAATCTAGATATTAATTTTATAGTTACAGGATATGTAAAAAGTGGGTGGGGGTTGAATGTTTCCTATCAACTTGTAAAATAAGAGTAGATTTCAGTGAGAACTGATCTTAAACCTTGTATTACCACAACATTGATTTACGTTTAAACCATTGTTCATATCAAATTCACCCAAGAGAAATAGTAAATTCAAAATCTTTGAAAGTAAAGCTAATTAGTTTAATAGTTTTTAAGCCAAATTCTTGAGGAATTTTTATACAAAGTGAACTAATTTTTACATGCTTATGCTTCATTATATCTTCCATAATAGGCTCTTCAAATATATCCTCCATTTTGATGTCTTACGGATTTTTTGTGTCTAATCATTAGATTTGCAGATCTAAGAATACATACTGAGCGACAAATATCATTTTGTCTTTTTCATTCAACATTGCTTCTGTTTGTTCCAAGGACATTGGTATAGGTTTGTCTCTATCTGTTTGATATTCATCCTCATTTGTTTGTGTAACATCCTCCCATACAGTAAAATTATCAACTGATGGTCTTGATTTCTTAGTTTCTTGTGTAGATTTCACGCCAAGATCAGTACATCACAATTTGAACAAGTAAATAGAAAGGGAGCATCCACATAATTGAGCAAGAATACGCTTGTATCATTGCCTCACTGTTGATCAATCTATTCTTGAGTTTGAGTTTTTTGTTATATTATAGCAAATTGATGTTGATACATGGAGTAGAATTTATTAATATATTAGGCCAGAGAACCTTAAAATATTAGCAATTCAAAACTTTCACACAATGATAGGAACACAATTGGTCATTCTAACAAACACAAAAAGCTAAGCCATCACTTCGGAACATTATGAACCTTAACTAGGTTATATGGACTAAAATCGTCTATGTCCTGTCTCTTGTATTGGTAGATTTGCATTATGTGCCATTTCTTTTTCTTTTGCTTTTTACAGTCATTTTTTTTTGGTGCTGAACAATTCAACTTTTATCTTATCACATGAATGCCCATCAAAAAAACAATGTAGCGGCTATCTTCTGGAGCGTGATTAAAGGTGTAAATTTATCAAAAACAAATGATCATGCCATTGGACGAATATTTATGTCCCTTCTTTGTTCCGTATTTTTTTCCTTTCTTTATACCCATGTAAATGCATCACCGACGGCTAGAATGCTGATACGGGAACCTTGTAGGTTTGCGGTTTATCCAAACCTAACGTTCATCTTCTGTGCCACACTGCATTCCCGCCACAAGTAATGAGTTGTCATTAGAGCTTGAAATTTGATCCTTCTTTTTTCTCTTCATGCCGAAAATCTTTCATGTTATTAGCAAAGCAAGGAATTGGGTACTCTTTATCCCTATTTTTTGATCAAATCCTATGTACAAAGGTGGAAAGTCTTGACTTGATCTTTTGCTTCTAAACTATAATCAAATTGATTAATCGCCCTTATTTCTTCAATGATCTTGAAATTACATACCAAATGAACATCTCTATCTTTGGTGACAAAAGATTCCTTGCTCTTTTCCACCTTCGTTTCAGTTAATGCTGCACAAACAAAAGCTTGTCCAGGGATGGTCTTGACCTATGCATAATAATGCATTCAACATGTTGAGAATTTTTTAGTGAAGTATTACTTCCATGTACCATATTGGACCCTCGCCCCTATACATTTTGTGCTGCTTCGTTCTTCAAATTTAGGGAGAGATAATTTTATGTTTTTTTTTTATCACGAGGGACATAATTAACCATGTTGCTTGAAAGTCTTGATCTAAATCAAAAGTATGTGTTTTTTTTTCTGGTTTCAGGTTTTTTAAGCATATGTTGGAGTGTTGTTGCTCAAAGTTGCATTAGTTAGTGCTGCTTTGAGGAGCTTTGCATTACATGAAAGGACATGTTGTGGTCATGACTGAAGGAAGCATTTAGTTTTGTTAATTTTGCATTTGCATGTTACTGTTTATGTGATTCGCCATCACACTCAACAAAGTTAATGTGCATTATGGTTAACGTATCCTATTACACTCTTGCTTAATGTTTATGTTTCAATGTATGGTCTTTCAACGACAATTTGGCCACACAACACATTGTTGTAAAAATCAAAATTAAAAAAAAAAACAAAACTAATAGATTAATAGTTCACGTGTAATGTACATGTGCAGTAACTAGTCAATATTACTATAAAATGTCAACAAAGATGAAAATTTTTTGATTGACTAAAATAACCATAATAAAAAAACTAATACCACTTGTATCCTTTCTAACATTAATTCAAATTGAATACATACAAATTAACTAAAAGATAATTTTAGTTAATTAGCCCTAATGCATTAGGGCTCTTAGCCTCCCATAATATACACCTCTCTTTCTACACCTCATTATAGTGTACATTTAATCATTCAATAGGTAGGGTCGTGAAGTTTTTAATACGTCACAACTTCTTTGCATATGGGAGAATAATTATTTTCATTCATAGAATTAATGGCCATAAAAATTACAACGAGCCATATATTGAAGACATAATTTCTTAGCATAACAGCCAAAACTTTCCATCTTCATGGCATCCATTCACTTCCTCTTCACTTTACTCTCAACCGTTTACCACAAAATCCTTCATTTTCTGTCTTATTGTTTGGTTCTCATGTATTTATTAGGTCCACTAATTTGCATTTGTTGTAGCTTTACTCAAACTCCTCATATGAACACTCGTAAGTTAATCGACTATCTTTTTGGAGGACCATATTTTCTTCTTCCATAGGTAATGGAGGTATTGTTACAGCTCTTTGGTGTTAAGTAGTCTTTTCATTTTTTGTTTTTTAAAAAGAGAGAAAATTTATTGAGAAAATTAAAGAATTGCAAGAAGCAAAGAGGACAAGCCACATTTTGGCTTTAATCCTTCAAAACAACTCACTGTCAAAAACATTACAAACCAAGGCCCCAAAAAAACAAAGTAAAGGCACCATAACCTCACTAAAAGACCATAGCAGTCCCCTCTGGCTGTGTCTCTTTGCGCAGTATAATCACCATTCCACCAAGGCAGCAAGCCTATTCCAAAACACCACTCATCATATCTACACTTCAAACATACCATTAAACCACAATGATCAAAAACCAATATAGTTTTGGTTCTCAATGTTGGCAAATGTCGCTGATCTTGGAGCAGCTTCATTCTAACAGCAACTGGTAAGAGACTAGTACCCGAAAAATCAGTAGAGAAACCATCTTGGACCGCCTTATTTGCCAAACCATCCGCTACAAAATTAGCCTCCCTAAATACATGTGTCAACTGGAGCTGCATCCTAGCCAAAATCTGCATTATTTGAGTCAAAATGCCTATAAAAGGCCAAGCAGACTGCACCTCTCCCTTTATCGTCTTCACCAGCACTTGAGAATCTGATTCAATCTGAATTTTATATACAAGGAGGCCATACTTATCAAGCAAACTCAAACCGTCTAACAAAGCTCTAAACTCAGCACCATATTAGAGCATATGCCATAGAAAAAAGATGCAGCTAAAACCACTCCTCCCCATTCATTACCAACCACTGCACCCCCACCAGCCATAACAGGGTTGCCCTTAGCAGCTCCATCCACATTTAACTTCAATAAACCACACTCTGGATTAACCCAGCAAACCCAAATGGCCTTAGTTCTGATCACATTAGGCACATTAATCCCTAACAAGAGCAGTAAACACCTTCCTCTTTCCCTATCCATCAACTTAGGCTCTATGTTTTTAACATGAAATCTCAACAAGCTACAGATTTTAAGGAAAACAGAATAGGAATTAATAGGACCTTCTCCAGCTCTTCTCCTACACTGTTCTTTACAAACCAACCAGTAAATTAACAATGCCAAACTTCTTACAAGAGAGCAGCCCAGAGACTTTTTCCTAAAAATTCTGCAAATTCTCTTCATTCTCACCAACTCCAACTCCCCCTCTATAAGCGGAAAGCCAGCCATACTCACCAACCTACTCCATATTAACTTAGCATAAAAGCAATCCACAAACAAATGTACAGAAGTCTCCTCTTCACTTAAACACAGAGAACATCTGCTAACCATAGAGACACCACAATTCCTAATCCTGGCATCAATAGGTAAGGCATTCATTAAAATTTTCCAACCCACAAAAGCTGTGCACTTGGAGCAGTCACTATACCTCATATAACCTTTTCAACCCCATTCCTTTCCCCCTGGCTCCCGATGTCTAACCAATTGCCATGCAGTTTTGACAGAAAAAGAACCAGAACTGGAACACTGCCAAATCCATTTATCATCTGAATTAGAAAGAAAAGCCCCACAGTTCTTAATCTCAGCAACTAACTGTTCACCTAACAGGTGCTCAACAGTCCCCAATTGCCAAACTGAGTTAACATACAACTCGCTGACCTTAGGAAATACCAGAGGCAAACCCTTTATCCTAAAGAGCAAAGGCCTATCTCCTAACCACAAATCACACCAGAAGTCAGTATGATCACCTCTCCCCAACAGTACTCTGGAATTTAATAAC